AATATAATGAAATAAAWTGAAGATTGAAGAAAATTTTGAAAAAATTCGGGAAAGGGTTAAATCAATAATGACTGTGAGTTTGCAGGAAACTTAATTCTTTTTAGGTTATTGCATAGAACATAGAACTTTCTTATATTAGGTAGGTATATACAAACTCAATTTCGGATGTTTATTTGCTTTTAAAGAACGGTTTTTTAAATTTTAGATCATTTTATAAAGTTCATTRGAAAATTTTTCATTTTTTATTACTTTTTTAAATACTTGTACATATCTCATTTATTAAAAACTCATATTACTCTTATTTTTAAAATTTTTGTATGATTAAAAATAATTAAAAATATTGTTTTTTCTTAATACAGCTGTTAATAAATACATGCAGGTGCGTTTTATAATTTGAATTCATTTTCCAAGATCTAACTTCAAAAATACGAGTACAATACAACTACCAGTGTTTGAAATCAAAAAAAAATAAATAAAAACTGGTAACCAAATATCAAAATCAATGTCGGAATTTTTCTCCGATTTCAAGCCCTGGACTTTATTTTCTATATTCCTAGTATTATTCATTTAAACTTTAAACTGGTATAATATGTCACTAATATTATTAATTACCTAGTTATATATTTTTAATAACATTTTTGCATTTTGCATGTTTTAGATTTTATATAAGTAATTAGCTGTTATATAATTAGGTATGTAAAATATTTAAGTTGTATAATACTTATCAATCGGACTAAATTTTAAATATCATTAAAAWCATACGAGATGCTCTATAATATATATTAAAATATATTCTCACCTTTAAATTTAATGATAGAAGTTCACTCTAATATTTAAATGGCTGCAACACAATTGATAAAATTGCGGAATCTAGTATAATTTAATAACAATTTTTTATCTAAACCTTGATGGATAACTAATGTAATGGCAACGTTGCGATAAAGAAGTCAAGTGGAATTATATATTTAGTACTTATCTCTATATATATATATAGATATGTAATTATTATTAATTTCTTCAAAAATTTGAGRAACTGTTCTCAAACCGATTTAACATAAAGTGTGTTGTACTTTAACGCGAATTTGCTATGAAACGTTTGTGAAACGAGGACAACACGTCCCAATAATTTTTATGCTGAGCCATAAAATATAAATATATCTACAAGAATTGTGCTCACATATCTTATTATTTATACATTATCAGAGCCAGAGGCAAGTGAGGTATTGGGGGTCGTGACACCCCGCCATCGGATAATCGTAATGAAARTCGGCACTTTCGGCATACGGAATTTTTTAGATAAAATAACCTATTAAGATACTTACTATAGCCGTGGAATAGTCCATGTCTATTTTTAAAACTGTTAGTATAAACTGATAAACATTTTCCTATATCTCGTACATCCATCCACTACAGTACTACACTACTGTCTACTGCACACCACCAATCATTTCACAATACACGTTCCGTCGTCTTGTGTGTGAATGAGTACTAGATACTGCAGAAGTAATATAGATTGATAATCACATAATAAAATAWGTAGGTATTATTATAATTTTCACTTTTAATTTCAATTTATAATGGAATATATAAGGAAAGGAATTAAACTTGTGTGGTTATGTATTTAATAAATATTATCGTGCTAAACATGAACGTCAGCAAGACAGCAACATAATGGAAAACGAGTTTCAGTAATGCATTTCGGTGTACCAGAAAATCCATTCGAAGCTTCAAAATAATTACATATAGCATATTCACCAACTTTAAGTTAGTTTAAAATAAAATGTATTCAATTAAGTACCTGAATTTATATTTAACTTATTTTTTCAAATGATATAAAACCAGCACAAGTTCTACTATGAAAAATATTCAAAACATTGAAAAAAATAATGTTGATACATGCACATCTGTTGAAAAAGATCCAATGCAATTAGTAATATACAAATGAACTTTTTTTATAAATTAAAATACACTTTTTATAATAATATTATTGATTTTTTTATTATAATGTAGATTGTTATTTTATGTAAATGTAGGTATACGTTTTCAATTTATATCTATTATTTCTTAATATATTAAGTAGATTTATGTTTAATTTATTAATAGGTAACCAAAAATACCACAAGTTGCACAACTTACTTACAACCTACTTAAGAAGAAGAAAACTGTTTCAGTGAAACTATAGAATATCGTAATATAACGTATTATAATGTAACATTATGTAAAAAAAATGTATGCTGTTAATTGCTGTGTAACTTTTCAATACTTCAAATCATATTTATTTAAAGGACCCACAAATGACTAGGAAAATAAATGCATTCAATTCAGTAAAAGCAATCCCAATATTTATCGGATTTTTGGGACAACCATACAGAAAAATATTATAGTTGTAAAAAATATGTTATAATATTATAATTATTTTAGTAGTAATTTTTTTTTGTGTATAACCGCAGCAGAGGAGGCTATGTGTGAACAATACACTACACCTCTTTTACCGAGTTTTAATAGGTATAGGTATTTAATTTGTTTCAACACGACCAGCTCACTTTTTAAGTCACGCGATTGGGTCTCTCTTTATTTCTATCAAACACTACAGTTATGGGTTAAAAGAGGTTGTTTAATCATTTTTCAATGATATACAAGTTTTATTTGAGGAAAATTTAATTGTTATTAACCCGTGCATATTCTATACACATCTAGGTACTGTTTCTCAATTCGATAATTTGGTAATTACTAACGCAGCACTTACTCACAAAAAAAAAAGTTTTAACAGAGGATAAAATATTTATAAATGTGTTGAAATAGCTCAAATTTGATTGGTTTACTTAGTTCTAAATAAACCACTAAAAATTCCTTCCGCATATTTGGAATTTTCATGCGAGGGTTCACCTATACACTCCACGTTTCCACAGACGATATAATATATGTAATAGCCAATGCTTCCTCTCCGCTTTACAAATACTGTACACGGTTATAATACATTCCCAATGAATGTCATCGAGGATTCAATGATTTTTTTCCAATATATGTTATTCACCGACCGAATACTATACCTGGAATGCGTCTTCAACAGCTGTATTTCATCAGTATTTATAGTTGCAAATTATAGATTTGTTTCATATTATACGTTAATTTTTGGATTAGTTTTAAATTTTTGCGGACAAAAAATTGCACTGGAACAAAAAAGATGGGCGTGATGTGGAAATGGTGCAAAAATATTGAGTTCCATCTATTCAACCAAAACCAGGTATGCAGTCATTTAGCAGATATTTAATTTTCTATGCACACGGCGACATCATCGTACCCATATAATATATTCGGTATTCAAAATTTTCATGCGTGGGTTATCGACACCCCACAGACGATACAATATGGTTATAAATACTTGTTATTATTATTATTTGCTTCATCTTCACTATACATTGTTATATAGAAAAAATACTTGATCGAATAATTTTAGCGAAGGACTTGATTTTCCACTCACGTGTTTTTAACCGACCAAATACCTGAAATACCTACGTTTAGCACTCTTAAAATCATTACACGAAAAACGACTTATCTCTTTCGTGTTCATCGTAGAGATTGAGCAAAAAAATATAATTACCCTATACATTTTTACTCATAAATTGGAGRCCCCGACGATGATCATTGTTRCGCACGATGAAATCAGCATTGGTTATTAATTTATTATTTGAAAGCAGAACTTATACGCACAAGCGTATACACTTACCGCAAAAACTAATAATTAATATTATGTAAATATAAAAACTCCAATAAATCAACAAACAATAATTATTATACAAATAAAATGGTTTATATTTTTTGTTTAAAACATTATTACATAGTACACTAAAMAAATACTATCTAATAATAATTAAAATATTCTTTTATTTAAAAATGATTAAACGCTAATGGTTTTCTTTTTCGTAACAATATTTTGAATATACGTAAAATATCATATATACTTTTAAATGTTTCATTAACACATAATATTATAAAGAGAAAAACTTAAAAAGACTTCAGCCTTATTATTTTTATATAAACATTTTTTTTTTTTTTACAAACAGTGCGTATTTTTGTGGTTTCACTCTAAACGCCARTCTGGTAATTATACAACAAAACAACAAAAGAAAAAGAGAAGGGGTATCAATTATAATAATTATATAATATTATTACCTACTGGAAGATGTGTATATATATAATATATATATAGTACGTACTACATACAGATCTCRGTAGACGGACATCTGCAACCGAGAACATATCGTCACAGACGATGAAAACAACATAATTCAAGAAGATTACATTAAGTTTATAATTACAATAATTTATAATAAGAATAATATATATTTATATATAATAATGTATGATGATGATTATAATAATAATAATAATAATAATAATAATAGATTGACATAATAATATCACAACATTGTATAACTCTAGGACATTCAAAATTGCTCGATAAAAAGACGTTAGGTGTATATAATTAAAATAATTTTTCATTACTTTTAAAAAATATTTTTAATACTGAACAAACATTGGATTGGAAGCTTTATGAAAAAAATAAATATTACGATTATTATTTTATGCATATTTTATACAAAAAATTGTAATAACTTGCGATACACATATGATAATATGTAGACAATATAATAATTATATTATAATCTGTATTTATCAAGTAGTGTACGAGCCTTAAACGAAAAACCGTTAATGTTATTATTTTTCATTGTAATAATAGCATGGTTTACAGACACTATATATAGAAAAGGATGGTGCACGCGCGGGTCACGAAGRTGTTAATTTTCTTTCGTAAATATGTGTTCCTCAACGTAATATTATAATTTTTATAATTATATACACGTTTTACAAATAGGAATGTTTATTACAAACAATGCAATGTTATAAATATGATGTTTAATTTAATTAAAAATTTTTTTTTATATTTTATTTAATTTTTTAATTTTTTT